CTGATAACGAGTTCAAACAGGTGCCATTAATACAGTTAACAAGTGGAGGACAGAGGAGGCTCTTAAAGAAGAAGTTACAGGTCTGTGAGAGCCAGAAATCTTGTTTGTTTGTAGGTGACCAAATACTTATTTTCCACCATAATTTGCAAATAAATTCTTTAAAAATCAGACAATGTGATTTTCTGGATTTTTTTTTTCTCATTTTGTCTCTCATAGTTGATTTATACCTAGGATGAAAATTACAAGCCTCTCTCATCTTTTTAAGTGGGAGAACTTGCACAATTGGTGGCTGACTAAATACTTTTTTGCCCCACTGTATGTGGGGAAAGTGACAGTGTGGAAAACCGTATTTGTTTCAGTTGATGTGACCTTTTTGTTTCCTCTCACCTGAGTGGGTTATTGATAGCAATGTAGCGGTCGGCGGCGATGGCCAGCAGGCTGAAGATGGAGCTCTGGGTAAGGATGAGGACGAAGCAAGCGATGAACAGGCAGCCAAAGAAGTTTGCACAGAAGCCGGTACTTATGTGGGATTGCAAAAAAACGTGTTAAAAACCAGTGAATTGGCACAATTGGATTTAAGTCATAATTATAACTTAAATGAAACAGCGAGCAGTACCTTATAGTGATAGCAAAGGGGATTGCCAGCAACCCCACAGCAATATCAGCCACTGCCAGTGACACCACGAAGAAGTTGGTGATGCTCTGCAGATTGGAGTTGAGGCAGACGGCCCAGCAGACCAGCACGTTTCCCGCCACAGACAGTAAGGCGATTACCAGCTCCAGGCCGATATAGACCAGCTGGTCATTCTCCGGCATGGTTGTTTTTTCTTATTATTTGCTTTCTTTGCGTTTTCATTCCACAAACTCAGCTGCTTTGACTTGTTTTTAGACAAAATACCAACTTGCCAAACCCCATGGTACGCCTTGAGGAAAGAGTGATAGTGTCAACAGAGGATAGCCAAGGCAGGATGTTGCCACCACAAACATGACACCTGACATAATGTTTACTGTAACTCAGTCTGTGAGTCTTCCTATTTCTCTCTGCAGCCGTCTTCACCTCCTTTGTGTTCGGCTTGTTGAACTTTGCTTCAGATGGCCGAATGTTGAAGAGGAAGGCTCTGGGAGGTTAGCCCGATGGCTGCCAAGTTAAGAGCACTGGTCTGGAGAGTAAGAGAGAGAGAACACAATCTCAGTCATCTGGCCTGTACAAACAGATTGCAGCCTACCACACAGGTCCGAAAAGCAATCTATCTCTGGAAGACAGGCGTGCAGTTTGTTTCCACACAGGGCCAAAGCCGACAGTCCAACAATGCACCTTTTATTTCAGGAAAAGTTTCCCGAAAATCTGCCACACACTGACCATTCCTGTCAATGACATGCTTTCCTCCAGAATCACTGATAATACCACAGATTAAACCACCTATACATTTCAAAGCCATTGTACCAACACTTGAACACTTTGTTGGTCTATCATCACTGCATTTATGTCAACCTTGCATTGTTGGAGAAGCGACCTAAGATTTTCAATGGCATAATTACTCTGTAGCTATGTTAGTTTGACAATAAAGAACCTTGAACCTTGAACCTTGAACCTCTACAAAGGGAGTCCGAGAGAAATGCAAGCCAAGTTATTCACTTATGAATAATGGGGTATAGCTCAGGGGGGAAGACAGACGTGTTTCCAGATCACGTGAGAAAATAACCAAGGCTGCATTGATACTACACTATGCAGTATTATGGATTTTCCCTATAGCAGTTTGAATCTATATTTTGAATCATAACAAGGAAGTAAATTGAAGGATTTGTGTTGTTGCCAGTTGCCTGTGGCTTCAGATTAGCGAAATACCAGGGGGATTAGTGTATTTAGAAAATGTCTGTGGGAAAAATGCTTAATTTTGTTGTGCTTTTATGCAATTTCTTCTATTTGTTTGACATTTTCTTAAAACTCAATACCAACAGAACGGGTTAGCCTATAATACAAGCATCACCATGTATACAATATGCTGCTGTACATCAGTGCACTCAAGACCAATGGCACAAGTTTCTTCCTCTTGTTGGAAACGCTTAAATTCCCTGAAATGAGGCACAGCGTACAAAGCAGACATATGTTCAAAGTAAACTTGGTGACATTGGGGACAAGAATGATTTGTTGATATGGACTAGTTCCTGGCACAGCGATTAGGGAAATCTGTCACGAGCGATGCTGGGACCTATTTTTCAGGGCCTTGCATTAGCATGTCTCTGCCACTGTATCAGAAATGAATCCAAAGATGAATGTGACACTGATGAGCGTAATCTCATAACAGAATGACTAATCAATCTGACCAGCTTTAGCATTCATGTACTGTGGGATATTCTTGGAGCCGATGAAGATGCTCACTGAGCCTCAATCTAATATTCAACCTCTAATGGGTGTCAAAAAATGTCATCCACATCTTGGGCAAAATGGCCGTAGCTTTGCATAAGAAAAAGCTGTGATTATAATTTTTATATTGACGACGTTTCAGCTCAGTTCACTTCAGTTATTGAGTAATATTAAACTATGTGTTTAGTGTATGGAAATCCACATCTAACCAAAGTGTGGGTTATTTGTTTAGATTCCATATTGAATCATCAATCTTCCTATCTGTTGAGGTTCAGGATTGTACCTGATTAGAAAGACATATTATTTCTCGAATAAACTGGCTATAATTGTACTGTATATGAAAAAAGATTGGTAAAAGACCTCACACGACCTCATAGTCATAGGAAATATAAAGAAACATTGCCATAGAGTTGAAAATATATAGAAAACTGAAAACATGTAGATTAACTTTCCTTCCACACATTGTGCTTCCACCAAACTTGCTGTGTTGTTCTCACATAGTTTTGTATTAGCTCTACAGCTATGATCCTGATTGGCAGTACGTCGGACCAAAGTTGTGCTTTTTCTCTATTGTTTAAACTTTCTCACAAGCCAAAGGAATTAAAAAAAACAAGCTTTATGCAGCATTTCTAGAAAGCTATAACACCCAACCATTTAAAACCTCAAGTTGCTGCAACATTTTGAAAATAGAAGAAAGTGGTACAATAAAACAAGAACTTACATGATTCTTCTTGTTTAACCTTCTTCCAGTTGTCTGCTTTAATGAAAAACGACTCTCCTTTATTATGATCAGGGCTAAATGTGCATTAAGGCTTGGAGGAAGTGATAAGAACATGCACATCCTGCTAGAGGCTGATCTGTCTCTGCCATGTCAATCAATGCACCAGCTCCACCAAAGGCATAGGAAAACAAAATGAAAAGCTGCTGTATTATTATTGGCAAAGGTTCTGTGTTTATAACTAATGAGGGAGGCCCACACATCATGTTGTGGACTCTTGATACCAAGAACATATAAGACAACAGAAACATTAGCTGGGCTAATAATGAACAATCACTGCAGGGAAAGTTTTGTTATGACAGTAGATGTTAATTGATAGTGATGGTCAAAATGCTGATCAGACGTTCATCAATTTATCAGCCTTATAAAGAGAGATAAATACACACACTTTCATAATTACAGCTATTCACACAAAGTACTGGGTTGATGCAATATCAGGTATAGGCTACATTGATTAGACTTGAACCATCTAATTCTTAAATGTATTGCTATGAAAAACTCCACAACCTAGACACATTGAAATCTTCCATGGTTAGAATAACCAATAGTTGCTTATGTTCAATTAATAAACATAATCTTCGCGCATTGGTTATGGAAAAAAACACCTGGTCAATGTAACTACTCTTCTTAGACATCATCTGACACACATTTAAAACATAGCCTGAACAAGCAGAAAACATTTCTTACCTTTAAGAGTGGAAATAAGAAGTCTTTCCTCCTAATCAACGTGTATAAGAACGCAATAGGCGGATATCCCCAGAAACTTAAATGGAAAGTGACAGACACGGAATGAAAAATGAATACGTTGTAAATCCTGTGATATGTGACTGGATTGTCACAGTGACTGATGATCGGTGGTTCAGGGGAAGTTCTGAAGGTGAGCCACACACACACGCTGCAATACAATAGAAGCGCTAGCCTCTTTCTCTCTCCTGCGCGCGTGTGTGTATGTATCATGTGTGGGTGTGTTGGTTGAGGAGGGTGGTCTTGTGGTGAATAGTGACGTATGAACGGCTGGAAAGTGAAAGAGGCCGAGGAAATTAAATAAAAATAAGATACCGTCAAAATAGGTGGAATAAAGGTACAAACATTTTTCGATGATAAGTTTCACATTAAACATGTGTTACAAAACGCGAAAGAAACCCCAGGAGAAAGCCAATTCTGAGTCCACGTGCACACCCTCAAAACCACGCCCATTTTTGGTTTGTTGTAAATGAGGCTGTGCGTAAAAGTCAAATACGCAGACAAATGTGAGGATTGTATTGTTTGAATGCTTCATGGTTATGTGCCTTAATACATTGTAAATTATGTATTCAGAGACCTTTAAACTTTATTTTTATTTGCGATGTAATGTAAAACCTCTGCCACGTTTGATGACACAAGTGGCCTGTTGGATTTCCTAACATCTATTTCATAATTCAAGTTAAGAAGTTAAGATTGAATATAATTTATGCTTTTATCTAGTTGCTCTCTTTGCTGGTCTTCATCCTTCTCTGAAATAACATTGCCATTAATACTATGAGCCTAATCTGACTCACATGTTAACATACTTATTAATTTGTAAAGACCCATTTCTTTAGACTTGCATTAGTAGTTTTACTGCTCATCAGTCAGATCCATGATTCACTTCTAAATACGATTATCAAATGGAAAGCTCAGATGTTTTATAGAAGATTTAAAAACCCAGAATAGGTGTCCTGCTGATACACATGTCAGGAAGAATTACACTAACCTGTAAACATTTTATTGTTTCATGCTGTTTTCGTCTACCATGTTGTTCAGTGCAATCATTTCCACCTGAAAAGCGACCAGGCTGCAGAATTAATCAGAAGTTTAAAAAACCAAAACCAAAAATCATTCTATGTAGATACAAGGAGATTTTATTTAACATTTTTGTGTACAAACATAGGCTGCAAATGCCTTCCAAACATGTTTTCCCTCAGAATACAGTATTCCTTTGTTACAGTTCTACAAGCAGAACACTGAATATTGAACAAGAGGAACAAGAGTTCAAAAATCGCAGAAGGTAAAGAGAAAGTGTTTGTGGTTGGTCAGCAAGTTTCATTCTCAGCTTAACATTGTGTGCCAAATAAAATCAAAACGGGTATATTTCCAAAGAGTCAGGGAGTCTAACTTAATGTAAGTCTGGTGGCGTAGAAGTGGCAGCAGAGGGTCATTTGACAGTATTATGGGAATGTGATAATTACCATATGCAATAAATGGAGGAGGACTTTCATATAGAGCAATATGTTCCACATCTTCAGGCTATTCAACAGATAAATTAAACCTTTTTTGTTGTATTTACTTTTTCATGTACAGAGGGACTGAGGTTATGGAGGGTACATGCAGTTACACTGACAATCAACAGACCAAAAACAATGCAGATTTTAGAGCAATATAAGACTCTTATCTCCTCTACCATACACTGACAGCTTGTCTTTTCAAAGAGACTAGAGGCGTACCGGCTCAACTCTTGACGATCATACGTCAGCGGACGCCAAAATAAATAATAACGGAAACCAGATAATGTACTCTCTAGTATAATACATATTATACAACTTTGTGGAAAATGAGAGAAGTTTGAATTCTGTGAATCTACCTTTTTCAATTGACAAGAACCTGCATCTGCTATTCAGTTATTTAATCAAATAGCTAAACACTCACAGTGGGCAGTCTGTACAACAAGTTGTACAACACGTCAAACTACAGAGATGAGAAATGGGCTTTCGTAGGTGTTTGGAGGGGTTGTGATTCTGGGACAAAATATCAACAAACAGTAAAATAAGACGTACGTTTTCCCAAAGAAAGCACACCATATACATTAATATAGCTTCAGATGATATTGTATCATAAATAAATAGAACTAGGAGACCTTCTTATACCAAACAGGGACAAAACATAAATAAATTAGATTAAAAGGCATTCAAAGGAGCTGAAAGTTTAAGAGCCAAAACAAGGACGAAAATGTTTTAAGACTGACTTTTTAAAATGACAGCATCACAGTACGATGAAGGTGACAGTAGAGCATGTACAGTATGAGCTAAGACCGTGCTTAAGGTTAAGGTCCTGTCTTAGTCTTTAAGAGATGGAAGGTGTGTGGCTGTCCTCAGCAAAGGCAACAGGAGACTGAACAACGTTTCAGAGTACCACAGGCGCTTAACAAACAAAAAAAAAGTGTCGAGGCACGATAGGGTAGGCAATCGGGACTTGTTTTAAAGGGTGACAGACGAATGAATGAGTGGTGGATTCACCCGGTGTCTCACATCCTGACATATAGATGATGAAACAATGTGAGCATGCTACAGTAGGCCAAAACGTGTGGAAGTACATAAAGGGACTGAAGGCATGAAGACTTTCAGAATAAAAGCTTAACATCATTTGGGTTGATATAATGATGTTTTATGTATATTTATTTATCGAGTGACTTAAGATTTAGAGAGTTGATATGTATCTGAGAATGACTTCTCTTGCCTTAAAAAGTCCAAAGACATTTATGTTAACTTAAAATGTGTTATCAATAACATTGACTCCCATAAGTCATCTCAAACATGGACACAAGCCCTTATCAGATCCAGTTAACTGTTCAAACGGTTATAGTTTTATATCTAAGATATTCGAGAGGAACAACCGTGATATTTACCCTAGGCATGAGAAGGATATGCTGCGATAATGTAAACCAGATACTCACGAGTTACAAACATCCCACATGATGACACAACTGTGAAAAAGACAGCAATAACACAAAAATAAAAAACAAAACAATAAAACATGCCTGCATGTTAAATCTAGGAAACTGAAATCAAAATGAGAAATATGTACTTTTTAGAATCAAAAACACATCTTAAGAGCTTTCTTTTTTAAAATGGTCATCTAGTTGGACACCTTCATGCTTCACCGTATGAAGAACATTGAAAGGGACAAAGGATTATAAGGACATTTCGCCGTTCAGGAGAAGATGAAACAAAATTAATATTCCTTCATAAAAACCAACAGATATGCTCTTCATTGGACATAAATGCAGAGTGCTCAGGTCACTTCAATTGTAATACAGTAGTTTCTAACATTGCGTGAGTGCACTTCTGCAGCCAATGATTAAATGGTACAACATGAGACAATGTCATATGTGTGTGAGTGTGTGTGCTCTATTATGACATTGCATATTGTCTACACTAGACAGGCGACGGTCTCTGGATGCGAGACGTTTTTTTTTGCCGAGGAACACCCAGCCGTTAAAGAGCTTGTGCCTTTTCCACAGCAGCATACAGTATGTAACTACAATGTGTGTGTTACCTTCAATAATAATATCTAAATGAATAATCAAGAGGCTGGACAGAACAGCTGAGTAGTTTCTATAAGAACAAGGCTAAATCCTGCTTATTTACTGCAAGACTCAAAGTCAAGGCTAAGACCTACCACTTTCAGAATCAAAACAGAAAAAGAGCTCACATAGAAAAACAAACCGACCCCTTCCCCCCCCCAAAATAAATTACAATAATAGCATCAATGATTATACTGTTAAACAAAAAGAAAGAAATATTTAAGATTATGTACATACTGTATCTGTAAATACAACCGCCTCCTTTTTTGTCTAGAAACAAACAAAAAACATATTACTTTTGGCAAGATGTCCTATGTTACAGTAAGAAGGACTTTTCCTCAGCAACGATATGAACACAGACACTTCCTATGTTAGAAAATATATTGCTTCCTGGGTATTCAAGCTGAAGACTACCTTGAGACACAAACAACACAAATAGAGGACATTTTGCTTTTATGGTCGTAAAAACCGCAGTCAGTCAGATTGCAGTGTATTACTAATCATCAGGTTCCTTTTTTTGTTCTTCTTCAAGCTGTAGCATTTGTCTCCGACTCCCATCTGGGTTTGTTTACGTTGTAAACACTAAACCATACAGGTGTTGGCTTCTTCACCCAAAGAACGAAAGCCAGTATCGCGCCGATCGTCAACTCCTATAAATGTGTTCTCTTGTCTTTCTCAGAAACAATGGGCTGAGATGATGTAAGACACAGTTAGGATTGACCTCATCAGGAAATGAAGCAATGTTCGAGATGGATCAATGACAAGTCTTGAGTAGATGATTGTCCAAAATAAACACAGATAGAGAACAACGCAAACACAAACTTACATGGAAATTCAGATTTGATGGCAAACTAATTCAAGGATCAGGAAAGACGTGTTTTCTTCTCTTATGGACTGACATTGATCTTGATTTTTGAACCACAATTGCGTTAAAGCTGTAAAGACCAACAAAGAGCGTGGTGGAGAAATGTAGATGGTGAATGTAGTCAATGAAGGAATCTTACTAAATATCATGTAATGAGAGATATGAACACCCTCGCATCCTCAGAGGTTCGGAGGTCCAATGGCGCCCTCTTGTGTTTGAGGAGGGCAGGCATCACCAGAGACAATCTTTTCCATCTGCAAGAGTCTGGTCAGTCAATTAAAAAACATCCTACTATAGGCTCACTTTGAGCCACGGTCCGTCTCGTTTCTCTCCTCCATGGTCAAAGAATCAGAGTCAATATTAGCTCTATACTTCAGTGGAGAAGAGGATGCTCTGTCTTTTACTGTCCGGGGTGGGGATCGTCTCCAGCTGGAGGAAGTACAGCAACACCTGGACCTGCGAGCGAATACAAAACAGAAGAGACATATGAGGTTTTAGATGGACGAGCTTTTAGTTAGAACTCTGAAAATCAAAGATGAAATGCCAGAACGAGACCAACCTGCGCCATGACTTCCAGGGACCAGCTGTCCCCCATGCTGATTGGCTGGGTGGGGTTTGCGGGGATCTTGCTGTCCTTCTCGGAAGGCCTCAGCAAGGTCGGTCCGAAAACTGTCGCCAAGTTGTGGAGAGACATCTTGTTGATGCTCTCCTTATCTGCCACCCTGAGGAGAAGAAGACATGACGTCTGTTAGTGGCATATAGAGAGATGACAAGAGATCATATGTACTTTTGGTACTTTAAGTATATTTTGATGCAAATACTTTTGTACTTTTATTTGAGTAACATTTAGAATGCAGGACTTTTACTTAGTAGTATTCCTACGCAATGTAACTTCTACTTTTACTTAAGGACAAGATCTGAGTACTTCTCCAAACATTATATATATATATTGTAGTATAACATATTTTGTTATATATTGTAGTTCAATTTGCACATTTTTTCCTAACTTCATATGCCAATACAACAAATATTCTCTACTTATTGCACATTTTTACTTTAAGTTATGTTTATATTCATATGTGTATTCTATTTCATTTTTGTTTTATCTTTGTATTTTTTATTTTAATCTTAAATGGAGCAACTGTCAAAAAACCTCATTTCTACCAGGGTACAGATGAATGAATCGGATTCTGATGTATATTTCTCAGAAATCACAGTTGAATGCACCACCTGTATTTTTATGGCTTGTTGTTTTCTCTGCATATGTTAGCATTCCTGTCTACATGATTTGAAAGGATGTGTGTGTTTCCTTACCTCTTCATGTGATCCAACAGGAATAGGAATGTGACCAGGTTGGGCTCCGGCAGTGACAGCAGTAAGTTCAACATGCAGCTCTCTTTGGCAACACTGTCAGACAGATCTGCACAGAGAGAAAATAATTAGATTGTATCACATCCTGCCAATCAAGCTGCAATCACCAGTAATTAGATATATTTGAGAATGTCAATATCCCTGGGACTTACTAATGCCGCCTGCAAAGTTAGGGTAGAGATCATCAGTGAAGAGCGGCTCTGGCAGCTCTCTGAAGTAAAGCTTCAAGGTCCCAGCGATGGCGTTGACATCCATCTCACTCATCATCACTGACACGTCTTTGTGATCTGCAGGAGAGAAGCAAGAACGACATGAAGACAGGAGGGTCCAAAAGGGACACGATAAGATTGGAAAACACCTCAAAACAAGCAGCAGTTGCCATCCGCTCATTCTGAAACCGCAATATACCGGTACACACAATCCACGCAAGATACATATACGATTAGCTGGCACAAACATGTTAAGTTCATAAATCTGGCTAATCATTTCACATCAGAGAAACCACTTCATTCATGTTAGCTCACAGTTAGCCACACAGCTACAATAATGATCACCAGGGGCCGTATTCACAAAGGATCTTAGGGCTAAAAGTAGCTCCTAACTGGCGAATTTAGGAGAAACTCCTAAACATAATGGGCGTGTCAGTCTTACATTTAGGACTCCTAATTTTATTCACTAAGAGCAATTCACAAAGTATTTTAGGCCTAAAAGTAGCACCTAAGTTTAGGAGAGCTTAAAAGTCCTCGAGAGGACTCCTAACTCAGTAAGACCTATTCACAAAGAATCTGAAAATGGCTGCGAGACGAAATGTTTTGGAGACAATGGAAGACTGTGAATTGATCAAGAGATATTGGCTAAATCGTGAGGGTATCAAACTTGTTGTGGAATTAGTGCGGGATGCAATAACATCCCCGACTAACAGGAATAACCCGATTAGTCCGGAAATAAAATGTTTGGCAACACTACGATATTTAGCAACAGGGAAAATGCAACTTTGCAATGCCAACGATTTAGGAATATCGCAACCATCAGTCAGCCGTGCCATAAACCAAACCATCAACGCGCTCTCTAGACCACATATCATCCAACAGTTTATCCGGTTTCCTTTGGACAATCAACAACTACACACAGGATCAAAGCAACTTCACGGCAAATGCAGGTTGCCCGGTGCGGTAGTGCTAATTGACGGGACGCACATAAAAATAACTGCGCCATCAAAAGATGGGACGTGTTCGTCGCATAGAAAGAAAGTACACGTCCATCACAGCAGATTGTTTTCATTCATCATGATAGGGGGGAAATTGAACGGCGGTATGGGCTGTTATTGAAAGGTTTAAGTGCTGAAATAATGCCATTGGATAATAGTTTTGCAGGGTGATTAATTGCCTCTTGAATTTAATGCAATTTTAACCGTATTTTTATTGTTCGCTCTCTCTCTTTAACGTGCATATACACGTCATTATCGGCGTCTGCAGCAAACTGTATCATGGCGTCGTATTCCTGTAACCTGCACTGGCCATCCAACACTTTGGATGGAAGTACATTCTACCAGATATTCGTTGTTTTAGTGGGCTCGTTTGTGGAATGTTGCCCGGATGAGTTCACCGAGACGCCTGCTCTGAACAACCAATCCGGTACTGACCGCTTCTAAACTCATGCACGAGAATCGAACGTAATCATAAGCAACGACGGTCACTCTAGTTCACTCTTAGTGATTTTATCCTTAGATCGGAGTAGGTCTCAGGCTTTGTGAATAACTTTTAGAAAAACTCTACGTAAATGTTTTAGCGCCGAGTTAGGAGCATCCTAAGCGGTAAAAATAAAATGGCTTCGTAAATACGGGCCCTGGATCAAACAGAGATAAAAGATTTTTAAAACGGGTTTGCCTTCAGGTGAGGATCAATCTCAGAATTGTTTCTAATGAAATGCGTGGCGGTACAGTATTCATCTCACCAAATTGGATGTTAAGAATCTATATCTTTGGTCATATTATATTTTTACATATTAGAAACCTAAACATAACTTTTTTCATCCAAATTTATTTGGCTTCTATGAAGATTTGAGTTAAGTTTAGTCC